TGACATAGTCTTCTTTAAGCAATCCAGGAAAGAATAAGGGTGAACAGTAAAGAAGAATAGGTAAAAAACGCCAGTTGACAAACTGTAAGAGGAGTTGTTGGGTTATGCCTAACTGCCTTAACTTCTTAATGTAAAAAGTCAGACGAAATATTCTTTTAGAAATCGCTAAGACATGGAAAGACCAGGATAGGTCAGAAGAAAGAATTAATACAAGAAAATTAACTTCAGACTTGATTTCTATATCAGTGTCATCAATTTTACAAGGGTCACAGGAACCAACAGCTTCATTTAACTTTCGTTTACATCGAAAACTGAAATTAACACTCTGGCATTTGGAAGGATTTAGTTTAAGGCCGTTACACGAAGACCAAGAATTACTTATTCGTTTTTAAGATTGATCTGGTAGATTTAGTGACTGGACAAACTTCTTCTGGATTCAGAGTTCAGGATTTCACATCTAATTTGCCATTGCTTCTGCAGTTTGAAAAGTTTGATTTTTGATTCCCATGTATTCTATAGATGACTTTGAAGTTAATTTGCGGTTTGGATTGGTGTCCAGATTCCATCAAGTTATTCAGGATACAGCTGTGGCGACGCGGTGGTGGGGGTGTTTTGTCGTCTTTATAAAACCATAAGGGTAAGTGTTTAGTGATGCGTTTAGATGGCCGATATTCCTAGCAAGTGAAGTGACAGCTGTACATTGATGAGGCCAATAGTTGTAGCTTATCCTTCCCGTTTTTTTTTTGAATCATTGGTTTTATAGAGCAAGTTAGTCGAAGTTCAACTGTAAAGAAGGTTTTCATCAACTGAATAAGTTTTCAAAAGCTCTTTCCTCCCTCCACTCTACCACAAATTGTTCTCAGATTAGTTATTTAACCGCTTGCTTATCTGTGTTCTGTTGTTGGTTATTTCTGGACATTGCCTTGCTTTGTGCATATAAATGTGACCGATCCTATAGATCTAGTCTCTATTGTGTTCAATGCACTGCTGTTTATCAATGTTCTATTGGTAATTATTGTTACATAACACTTAACTAAAGCATAAAACACTTTTTTTTCTCTCACACACACTTGCAATCAGACCGTGTACACATAGTGATACTTATGCACAGTATACCACAGAATAATCGAATGTAACTGAATATACATTCATGCATAAATAATTCGTATTTTTTCACCTCATTCTTTTTATAAATAAAGAATAGTCTGCAAAAATGTACAAAAGAGGTATACTAATTACTAAAAATGTTCAAATGTTACAAACTGTAGTCGTCTAAAATGATGCTGATTAAAAGAAAACAAAATGTGGTAAATTCAATTTATTGCTCTACCTTTTAAACATGAGTACATGATTAATTTGCGTAGGACTTTCAAAAAAAAAAAGCTCATTTAAAGCGTAGATGATCACACATTCGAAATTACGCTTTATAGCACAAAACATCTAGCGACGTTGGTAAGGTATACTGTAACGATAGAAGACAAAGGCTAGGCAACAGATGGCTTATTAAGAAAATCGGTGACTCTAAACTAAAGCAGCCTAAAAAGAAACTACCTAATGAACGGATTGATGACCTTGACGAATTTATGTACAGAAATCGGTTTAACCTGACTATGAGGAGTCCCGTGAGAAATTGGGAGGTTTTTTTTGGAACAAATACAATAATGTTATCCTAATTAACTATTTTTGTAGCATTACATTACTTGCTCCAAATTATGCACCTCTACTTCTTACCAATGCGATTGGTCGCTAGAGGTAGTTTCGTTTCGGGCTGTTGTAGTTTACAGCCATTGGAAAATCAAGTAGTATTTATAGATTTTTATGAGCATTATCACCAGCGGAGAAGAAACGTCTTCTTACTGAAGGTTGTTCTGTTATTGCTTTGTGACCATTTCTCAGAAAATTAAGCCATATATCTGCGAATCATATTTTCACACGCTTAGTCCGCTGTGATTGGTTAGTGATTTTCTCAAGGTTAAGCTTTATTATCATTTTTCTCATGACCCTGATTCGGGATGTAACACTGACTTAAATTGTTTTTCACCATTCTGACTTGTTTGCAGCCAGCCCTCACCACAACACTAGCATCCATATGCAGAGGTAATACGTGTATGGCCAACGATCAAATGACCTTGAACCAACCAGTCAAGTCGCTCAGAGTTAAAAGATGAATATGATGAAACGCATACATTTGTAATGCTGAGCTAACTGATTACCTGGTTCAAAGCCATACGCATGTATATACGGCTTGTGTAATTTATCAGTTAATTCTGACATAAACACATGCAGACATCTTCATTTCTTCAATGTAGTAAGTACATTTTGAAAACAGAGAAAATCAATGTTATGGCGCTTAGAACACACAAAACGAAACTGTTAGAAATTTCTTTTACTGACCCATGGGTGTATAATTTACTCACATTCATATGTTAGACACTTTTGTTATTGAGTTATGTGATAGTTTTTATAAGGCTTACAGCAATACAATGATAAATTCAGTTACCGATGCCATTCATCCTCATCAGTACTTTTTTTTACTTTGACTTTAAACACAGAGTTGTCTAAATATTGTTTGTATGTGCGTATGTGCTTCAGTTTGGTGAATATTTATCTGTCGACTGTCGATGAAGCTGTTTATAATGAATGATCTTAGTGTATTAAAAATACATACATTAGTAATGATGTGCTATAAAATGGGTGGATTATATATCGTTCACGTGCATTGAAACACAAAAATATGAAGGTAAAAGAAGTCCACTAAGTGAGTGATTGACTGACTGACTGATTGAAATCTATACTAAGCGTGGAAGCCAAACCGTTTTTTTAAAGAAAATTAGAATGGAACACATCACTCTCTTCATTCTGCAGCTTGATGCCAATGAAATCATTTGTGACAGAAAGTCTTTAAAGCATGCCTGATAATGATTTTTAATACTTACTGTATTAAGGTGAACACCTGCAGGCTTATGAAGCTATACACTCATATATATATATATATATATATATATATAATATGTAGCTTGAGTTACATACAGAGCTTACACCAGTCAACGTCATCGGTGAGTAACTTTCCTCTGGTCTAACAGGATCGGGTTCCAGTGCCTGAATAGTCTACGAACTCGTCTTATAACCGGAAGGCCCTCGGTTCAAACTCCTGTGGGTGAGTGCGTACTACTGAGGAGTACCAGACGAGGGCGAAACGGTTGGATGAGGAAACTTAATGTTACAAAATGTTTTATTTACCTACCGAACGTATTTAGTTTAAATCTGTTTCCAAGATCTATACCTTCTATGAACTGTATTATATCTCAAGGGTTGGTTGGCAGGGATTTGATTGGTTACAAGTTTGATCATGAGTTGACATCAATAACAGGACCATTGGAAAACCAGTGAGGTGCACTAGACACCCAATTATTTTGGCCCGGTCTGGGACTCTTCAATAGTACGCACCCACTAGAGTTCGAAACCTGGATTTTCAGGTTACAAGACGAGCTCACTGACCATTTAGCTACTGGGACCCAAGCCAGTGGCTAACGCATGAATTCTAACTTCCACCAATTCCTGATTTTAGGAAGCATACTGTTTTCAGGAGGATTCTCCTGACTACTGCAACTACTACTACATAATATTCAGGTTTTGTGAACGTTTTTCACATTAAGCAAACTTAGTCTAAAATTACTGATTTTTTCACCTTCCCTTCCCTCCCCTGCACTACTGACAGTTTGTTCACTCATCACTGTTTCAAAACCTATTTTTACTCTTGTACTATTTTTGACGGACTGAATGTAACAGAAAGATTATTTGAAAAATCCATCCTGAACGGTCTAATTACAATATCGACACCTATAGGGATTTTTCAACTAACTTATGATTATCCTGTGATGAGAGCTGGCTGTTAGTCAAAATCGGTGGACAGTAATTTACGTCAATGTTTATGTCCCCAATATTGATTAGTCGCGAGAAAAATGAGAACAATGGCTTTGCATAGGCGGATACAGTTAACATATAGATGATCTGACATTCAAGAAACAGCCACAAAGAGATGCAAGGTCAACCTTTTGTGAGAAACAACCAATCAGAAGACTGTGTTTTTCTGTTAAAAATAATCTATAATAATGTACATAAAAATTTATAAATATCTGTTGATTTCGTGCATAAACGATCCGTTGCCTGGCCCTTGTCTTCTGATGTTACAATCCCTTTTTCTCCCACACTGTACATCGTAGTTCTGGCATTTGCATATCAATATTTTCATTTGATCCTTACTATTTATCTTTGTCCCTGTTTAACCTCAAATTTAAATGCTTCTCTTTGTGTTCGTTTAATGGCATCGATAATGTGATATTTTACAAGGTGATTTTTTGGCTAATGTTGTCGTTGTTGTTGAGTGAATCAAGGTGATTCTGACCTTGAGCTGTCTGTGGGGATTGTCAGTGTGTGTTCCTTGCTGACAGAGTTTTTCTTATCCCACTTGGTCGAGAATATTCTATTTGATTTTGAGTGCTGTATAGCTAGCTGGCTAACAGCACTGTTGATATCATCATCATCATCATTATTGTTTAGCAGAACCACAGATTTCAGCAACAAGTAATCGTCGTTTTTCTGTCTTTGTAACGTTTCTTCACTGCGCATGTCTCAAGGAAGTTTTAACCAGCTATACAGTGTAGACCAGAGATCAGTTTTCTGCTTCCAGACCATAAGGAGTCAGTTTCGGTAGCTACAGTGAATGCACATACAGAAAATAATTATATATAATGGTGGCTGGACAGTTCAGTGAATGAATCCACTGAAAGGAACGGACTCTTCACTGAACTGTTTTTGTTTTTTATTTTCATGTCTGGATGAATATTTTCCCTTGTCTTCCGATTGTTCTTAAACAATTAATTGTGTGTGTGTGTGTCTGTAAGTATCTAAAGATTACATACTACAGTTTCATCATGATCGTAAATGAATACACTTCTTTCAATAGAAAAATACATTTTCATGTGTTATAGTCTACTCACTGGAATTTTTTCTCCTCCAATAAAGTCAAACTTCGTGGACACTTTGAAAGGTAGAAATGACATTCAGGTTCTTTTTCTTCTGAAGTATCATATTTGGGAAGATTATATCTTCCAGGACCAGTGAATGGTGTCTAAAATAAAGGTGTGTATATATACACAGAAAGTATTAATTGTAAATAAAAGTCACTTCTATAAATTTTGATAGCATTATTAGAAGACGGAGATTATCTGAAAAATGTGATGTATTGGCGCTATAAATTTCGAACAATCTGATCATACATTTACTTGTCAAGTCAATATATATGCAAAGAATAAATTAAACAAATTGGTAATCCTTATTTGAATAGGAAGTGCAAGACAAGGTTTCATTACTCTTAAGTCTGTGTGGAGGTCAAAAGCCCCACTCTGCATCAAAAATAAGATCCAGATTTTCAACTCCAATGTGAAGTCAGTCACTGATACTCACTATTCTGATCGGAGACTTGCACTGCACTGCACGTCATAAAGAGCATCTCAAACAAACTACAGACCTTCATTAACAGTTGTCTTCGCTCAATACTAATCAAGATCAGATGGCCGGCCGGCCGGCCAGAAAAGGTCAGCAACCGGGAGGGATCTCTGGCAGTGAGCGAACCAACCCAGTAGGAATCTATTGTCCAGCTAATAAGCAGGAAGAAATGGAGGTGGATTGGAGGCCATACTCTGAGGAAACCATCAAGTGACATCACACGATAGGCCATAGCTCGAGTGGAACCCGAAAGGGAAGCGGCGAGTTGGTCGTCAGTGGAAGGGTGACTTGGAGGAGGTGATGTGAAGAGGAGATGAAAGCATGTGGGCAGACTTGGAGCGGGGTGAAAAAGTTGGCAGAGAACCGAACGCAATGGAGACGCGCAGCTGAAGTCCTATGTTCCTCCAGGAATTAAAGGATATAATAATAATAATTTGATTAAATTACCAAACGTTTGTGTTAAATATTCTTAATTCTTTTTTTTTGTCACTTTGTTTAATTTAACTTTTCCATATATATTGACTTGACAAGTAAATGTGTGATCAGATTGTTCGAAATGTATAGCGCCAATACATCACATTTTTCAGATAATCTCCGTCTTCTTCTAAGGCTATCAAAATAAAAGTCAGTCAGAAATGAATGAATACTAATTTTACTACAAATAATAGTTAAAAACTGCTGAGTATTCCTGTTAATCTTGCTGCCTAATATCCACGTAGCAAGAATCTGAACTGGTCAGTATTTTCAGATGGACACATATGCCGTACCTATAAGAAGTGGAAGGTATTAAATAGTTGGAGGCGATCGTTTGGAAGACCTGGACCTGTGTTTCACACTTGTTGGACCTTGGTTGGAAGGCATACTCATAACCTTGAAGGAACTGAAATTCTAACCTGTGTCTCTCACTACTACAGGCAGTAGCACTACCACCGAGCTATTCGAGTTTATGACTGACCTCTTGGCTATTAAGGAGTAACCATGTTCTATAGCATGACATCGGTAAAAGTATGAAAGTAGACGGTATTAAAGAGAAAAGGAGGATATAAAATGGTAATGGCAGTACAGAAATCGAAATTACACTTAAGATGGGGATAAGATGCGAATGAGTTTTTATTGTTATGGATAATGTAGAGTCTTCTGGTCAAACAAACTGTGCATAAAAATAGCTTAATAGCCTACTGGATAACGATTTATTCGCCAATGGTTCAGCTGTAGAATGCTTGCCTACTGATATGTATCCACATGATGTGTGTGTTTTGTTGTTGACAGTCTATTATATTTTGCTATGTGTATATGGATCGATATTCCATTATAACTAACATTATGCTTTTGTCAATCCACTAACTAAATAAACATGTATGACCTTGTTGTCACATGACATTACAACCAATCATGTTAAGACTTTCTATTTATTGGTTCATGTGTATTAGCCATTTTCATATATACTTTTGCATTGTATACTTTTTCACACAATTCGTACACTTGTACCATTTCACTCACACACTGATGTGACATTTATTTTCCTTGTCTGGAAAATACAAGTATCATCTTAAACCTGGTGGTCTTCTGATTTCCCTCTTTCCCCGTCAGGACTATTAACTACTCGACGAGTACACAACACCTACCATGGACGTGGTCTGGAGTTCAATCACCACGTACTTATAAGACTCGCTTATCCCTAAGTAACCTCGATAAAGTGAGAAGACTGGGAGTAAGACCAGATCAGAAAATAACGCCACTGCCTCTGAAATTTCGAAGCTCAAGTATGAAGCCCTATGCGCCAATCAGAGCTCAAAGGAGCGAAATAATAGACGGTTACGATTTATGGAACGTCAGGAGTCAAGTACTTCATGGATTTGTAAAACTCTTCAGAATGATGACTTTTCCTTCAATCTAATGTTAATTTCACTGACATAATCATGAATTACTAACACATTGCTTCAAGTTTGCCCACGGATTGACATCATTTAGGGAACCACTGGACGATTAGCTGATTGGTCCTAGTTTGTGACTCTGCAACAGTACGCATCCCAAGAGTTTGGACCCAAGACTTTCAGGTTATAAGATGTGCTCACTGACCATTTAGCCCCTAGGACCTGACCGAATGGTCAACGCATGAATTCTGACTTCTATCAATCCGTGACTTTAGCGAGACTGGCACCAACCAACGTCATCAGCGAGTATTTCTCCTCACTCTCGACCAGATGAACCCCACTGATCACGACTTTATGGGCCATTGAGTCGGTTCCCAGTGGCTGAGTCGGCTGTAAGCTCACCTAGTAACCGGATGGTCCTAGGTTCAAACCCTGGTGGTGGTTGCATGATATCGATGAGTCCTGAACTAGGACGAAACAGATGTTTGGTACTCCCTGATGGTGTTCCAGTGGTTTTCTAACACTAATATCAATCCGTGATCAAACTTGCAATGAAGTAAATCCCTACAAAATAACTCTTGAGAAATACCACATTTCTTTGACAGGTGATTTCTTTTGGCGATGAAAACAACTGTATATTTCTCAGCAATTACTATTAATTGACATCCCTACCATTATCGTTTATAATATTTTATCCAGATGAGTTTATTTGACGACTGACGCTTTTCAAAAATGACTAATCTGTAGTTTCTGAATGATATGTATATTTAAAATTAGTTCAGTTACAGCTCTTTTGACCGCATTTAAATGATCCACTGCTTTTTTCTCCCTCTAGTCATGTATTCTAGGAAAATGAACACTATGTAAAAGTATTGTAAAGGCCTAATTAACTCTCATATTCAAATATCAGGTAAATACCTTTCTGTTCTCTACTATTAAACGTTTCATCATCCAAAGTTTCCCTCTTATGAATAATCTTAATACTGTACTGTAGCCAAGACATACCTTCTTTTCAGTGTATAAGTTTGTATGCAAAACACCTCAAAGGATTTAGACGTTGACATTGCTTCTACTAAAACTGCAATAGGAATAATATCATAACATTGCCATCCCACTGTGTACTATTCAGTCTTGGTTAGCTGACTTCACGACTGATCATTAGCTTCAATTTCTTCCTCAGACAGTTTCATCCATGTTACCTTTGGTCGTCAAACTTGTCGTCACCCATTAGGGTTTCACTTAAGGGCTAACTGGGCGCGTGATATCATTGAATGGCATTCTCACTGTATTTCCAATGGGTTCTTCACTAATTTGCTGACAGACTTTCTTGCTGCTCGTTCTTTCCGGCCGGTCATCTGATGACCAGTATCTAGCGAAATCATATGTTGATGGAAGTCCTCAGTAGCCTGTTTGAAGGATATTTTGTGTCGCGTGCGCTAATTCTCTGGACCATATGGAAGCAGTGAATGACTTGATATTAGTGTTAAAAACCTGGATCTTGTTCCTTATTTTGAGTGCAGGAGACTTCCACACTGATTTTGAATTAGTGAATTTATGTCTTGCTTTTCTCATCATGGATTTGACATCTTCATCTGTGCCTCAACTGTTGTTATTATCCTAGACTACATCGACTCCCACTGCATAAGAACTTATCATGCTGATATGGAAGTCATGACTAGAACGGATTACTGACTCCGTAGTTAACAATTTGAGGAGTTCACTTCTATTACATCTACTCTCACAGATTTTCCCTCACTTCTATACTATATCTTTTCATTTCTTTTGCAATCTGAGCAGAGTTCCTTTTTCCCTATGCTTATTTTTGCTTTCATCGGAAGAAGACAGATTGGTTGACTACTGACTTTCCGAAAGCTTTGTCCAACCAGCATCATTTCACCTCCCTGATTCCAGGGAAAAATCAGTCTTCCCTTATATTTTTATTCTTTAAATATATTACTCAACTAACTGATGTGAATAGTAACTAAACCAGACTGTATATGAAGAAAATAAAAGACAGTTCAGTAAATCATCGGCAGTACTCACCCAAAGGTTCTAACCCAGGACCTACAGATTACAAGTTCTTATGCCATTCAGACGCTTGGACACCCAATTCATTGATCAGCCAACGAATTCTAACTTCTACCACTTCGTGATCTTCGGGCGACTGGCACCAACTAATGTCATCGGCGGGAAATCAATCCTCACTCCTGACTGGATGAACCTCATTTGTCATGACTTCTCACTAGAACCCCAGGAAACTTAGTCCTGTAGCCAGTCAGTCACTAGCGAGCATCAGATTAATTTTTAAGAATTGATTTGAAAGGATTAGATTTGTTTGTTTTTTTGAGTTTGAACACGTTAAACCATGTATGATATACTAGCTTGCCTTGTAACCTGAATGTCCTGGGTTCAAACCCAACTCTGTGGGTGCGTACCACCGATGATTCCCAAACTAGGATGAAACAGTCGTCTACTACTCCCCAGTTTTCAGTGGTTCACTGATGCTGATATCAATCCGTGGTCAAACTCTAAAAAAAAAACAATTCGTTGTAGAAAATCTTCTTTGTCGACGAAATCATCTTTCAAGGACTGTACAATCCTATTTATATTTACCAAAAACATGCATAGTAGTCCATTATTGAGTTTTAAAGCAGTGGTATTATTGATATAACTAACTCAGAAGTGGCTTCAAAAGTTAAATTAAAAACTACCTAATACTCAGTGGCACAAAGGAAGAAATTTGATAAGG